AGTGTGAAAATAGGTATCAAGGGAAAACAGTGTGTACAAGGGCATGTACTAGAGGTTCCTAAGTTAGCTGGGCATTTGGGGGGAATTCCCTGAGGGAGTGATAGGCAGAGAGCTGGAGGATGTGTTGGAGTAAGCAGGTAGAGTAGAAAGGAAGAATGTCCCTACTAAAGGGAGTATCATACATAAAGAGACTCTGAGGCTTTAAGTATTTTATGCATTTAAAGAATTGAAATAAGGCCAGTGTACTGGTATGTAGAGGGGAAACATTCAAGGTGAGGCCACAGAGTAGACTGGGCCCTGACTCTGCAGATCTCATGGGCCATATTTTCTTAAGAATTGTGGAGAACTGTTAAGATGTCAGAATAAAGTTTAGGAAATTCACTTGGGTTATATGAGAAGGAACCAGAGAACAAAAGCAGGATAAAGAGCTAGGTAGTCCAGCTGTGAGTTGTTGGAAGAGAAGGCAAGATGTAGCCGATCTCAAGAAATTTGCAGAAAGTAGAATTTTCTGTACCTCTTGATGGTCTGGATGATTCTCAAAGGACCAGTTTATTTCTGATTTAGTCTGTTTTCTGTTGCTATCTCTGAACACCATCGAGTGGTAACTTATAAGAAAAGAAATTTGTTTCTTACAGCTCTAAAGGCTGGGAGGTCTAAGAGCATGGAATTGGCATCTGGGGAGGGCCTTCTTGTTACATCATGACATGGCAGAGGGCATCATATGGTGAGACAGGGCAAGCACACTCAGGTCTCTCTTCCTCCTCTTATAAAAGTCACTAATTTCATCATGGGGATCCCACCCTCATGACCTATAAAATCTTAACCATTTCCCAAAGGCCTCACCTTCAAATACCACTAACGAATGAATTTGGGAATTAAGTTTCCAACACACAAGTTTGGGAAGACCAAATCATAGCAACTTCTCATCCTTTGATTGCCTCCTGGTATGACCTATCATTCCTGAATGATTTTTCTGCATGTTCTATATTGGTCTTCAAGCAGAGGTTCGGGGCCATCTGTGCTATCTCTGGAAGAGTCCTTTATCAATGTCACTATCATTCTGCTGTTTATGCACAGTTGATTTAAACTCTTCCATGAGGGAATGAGTCAGGGGGGGACACTGATGCACTTAATATTTCTTTATGTGGAGAACTGAAGCCTCATTTCATTCCCTGCTCCCCCCACCCCACCCCTCATACTAGGGATTGAATCCAGGGGTACTTTACCTTTACCATTTGAGCTACAACTCCAATCCTTTCTCTTTCTTTTTTTTTTTTTTTTAATTTTGAGACAGAATTTCATTAAGTTGCTGAGGCTGGCATCGGACTTGTGTGATTCTTCCACCTTAGCTACCTTAGTTGCTAAGATTGCAGGTGTGCACCAACGTGTTTGGCTCATTCTCTGGCTTAAGTCTTAAAATCCAGTGTGCATTAGAGTCACCTGTAGGTGTGGTTTAAACACAATTGTTGGTTCACCTGAGTTTAAGTTTCTGACTCAATAGATTAGGCTGGGGACTGATACTTTGCATATCTAGTAAGTTCCCAGGGAATGCTGATGCTGCCCTTTGAGAATCAGAGGTCAAACCATAAGATAATGAAAGCATTGATAAGGAGGTCAGATAGCTTTCTGGGAAAGAATTGGCACTCCTCTGACACCAGTAGCAGAGTATCCTATGTAGTATCACTCTGTCTCTCTACTATTTTTCGTTCTTTCTCTCGATTACACATATTTCAAATATCTCTTACTTTATTTTCCTCATCTATTAAGTGGAAATTTCCTGGATGGGTTTAATGAGGGAAGGATCTTAGGAAATAGAATCCAACTGAAATATGTCACAGAGGCAGCTGCAGCAGCAGTTGCTCTGTTTAAACTTCTGGGTTGCTATTCCAAAGGGTGAGCAGTGCCTTGGTAGAGTTATTTGCAATAATATCATAACTCAGCCTGTGCAAGCCTTCTTCCACATTTCTGGTTTACTTCATATGTCCTTAGAAGTAGAGGCTCAGAGTCTGAAGGTTCATGATGRCCAGGAATGGAAACCCAAGGGAACTGTGGAGGTTAGATTATCTGGCTCCAGAGAATCATTATGTATCCAGACAGGATAGAACCTGGGAGCAGTGGTTCCCAAACCTGAGAATACAACAGAAAAACTGGATAGTTTTATAAACATGCAGGTTTCTGGACTCAGCTTCAGATATTCCAAAGCTAAGTCTCTAGGAGGGATTCACACTTGTGTGTTCTGAAACCTCTCTAGGCAATGCTAAAGCAATTGTTCCATGGACTGTTTTTCAGGAACCACTGCCTTACAGCAAGTCTAATCCAGCCCCTTTGCTTCCCAGTTGAGGAAATTGAGACAAAAAGCGGGCATGTAACTTGTCTAGGTTCAAGTCCCCTCTGGTTAAGTGGTGGAGCCAGAAATGGATTTGAAGTTGTGATTTTCAGAGGTTGCATAGCTTGGTAGATCAGAGGCCTTAGAGGCAGATTCCAAGATGGCTTAGTATTTACTCAATGAATAGTCTTGTTTAGTTAACCTCTTGCCTGTAGAATGTAGAATTCATGGGAAACATAAAATATTGAATGAGAAAATGCTTATAATTTCTCACATTTTTAAATGCTTCTAAATGGATGCTGCTTTGATTGTATTTCATCAAATTCAATAAGCTACTAAGATATATTATTACTATATTTTTCCTCTAAAAAGAAAAAAAATAACTACCAATTAAATTAAGAGGCATAATTAAGTATCACAATTCTAATAAGTGAAATGCATTCATGATAAGGAGAGCAGGGAGTCTTCAGAAAGGGAATTGACACTCCTCTGACACCAAATAGTAGAGTATCTGTGGGATCTCTGTCTCTCTTCTATTTGCTTGTAAGTAACCAGTTGTTAACATGTGTACAAACAGGAAATATGGTATTCTACTTCTCTTCCTTGAGCCCCATGAAGAGTTGCGTGTCCCTGAATTAAATACTTTAAACAGTAAATGCAGATTTCCAAAGAAGAAACATACTATTGTGATTGAGGAATATCAAGGCCAGTGTAACTATGGGGAATATGGTATGAGTGGGGTGGGGACAAGGTCAAAGACAGCCAAGGGGACAGGTTATACAGGGCCCTGGGGACCATACAAGGAATTTGAATTTTATTATGAGTGAGATATGCAGTTACTCGAGGATTTTGAACAGAAGAGTTTCATGATCTGACTTACATTTTAAGATACATGAGGAGAAGTGGACAAAGGGAAACTGGTCATGAGATAATTATACTATTCCTGGTGATAGAAGATTGTGAATTGGCTCAGTAAAATAAATGTGGGAAGGAGTAGATGGGATATGGAAATACTTCTAATGTGGTCATCAGAACTTTTTGTGCATCTAGTTGATGGACTAGGTATGGAATATGAAAGACGTCAAGAATGGACTCAAGAGTTTTGTCTTGAGTCATTAGAATAATTAAGTTGGATGAAAGGGAAGAAACTGGGGGGAGGTGAGGTTTGAAAGAAGTCTGTATTTTGCTCAATTTTATTCTTATTCCTCTCCTTTCTCTATTTCTAAGGCTTACCTATTTTTCAATAAATATATTTAAGTATATATTTTTTCCCTATGTGTGCACTGAGGAATAAAAATAAGTATGATATAGTCCTCCCACCAAGAAAAAATTTGCCATCTATAAGGGAAAAGGACTTTCATACAAATAATTATATTATGAAGTAGGGTATATCTAATGTTATAGCAGAGATCAAAAAATGCCAGAAAATAGAGGAAGGAGACATGTATTGGAATCATTATTATCCTTCTTTAAATATGTTTGCTTTAGTTCATTGCATTGCAAAAGGAGAATGGTAGTATAATAATGTTAGGTAGCATATCAACTTGGGGTGTAATGGCCTCCTCACTATACCTTAAGCCACCTTAACCAGCATGCTTTTTCCTCAACCATACCTTGGTACTTTTTGTTCCCTTTGCATTAAACATCCCCAACTCTGAGAGTCACTGAGCTCATCTGTTTTCCTTCACTCCAAGCTCTGCTCAAAGTCATCATGTCCAGGAGGACTTCCTTGACTCTTTGCGGAATGAGCGTCTGTTCCCTTTCCATTGCCCTTGCTATATTCTCTCAGACATTTATTTGCTTATTGAATGTCTTCCTACACTAGGATGTATACTTTATGACAAAACACACTTTGTTTTGTTCATTGCCGTATCCCCACAGTGTTTGACAAATTGTTGAATGAATTAATGAATTCTGTAGGCTCTTTCTGACTTTGCACTCATTATATTGTAGCTGAATACTCTCGGGGCAGTAAGTTGGCTCAATTCCAGGGCTTATCTTTGTTTTCCCATCTCTCTGAGATTGCTATTCATTGTTCCCTGATGTTCATGATCTGAAGGCCAGTTTCCCATATAGTTAGCCCTTTCTGTTTCTTTCATACAGGAGAGTAAATCTGGTGTCTGTTACTGTAGCTTGGGTTAAAGTAGCTGTCCATTCCCAGAGGTTATTGGTCTTAGCCAGGGGACAGACATGATGCTAATGTGGGCCAAAAATACACATTCAATCCCTTTTTAGGAGAGTTTATAGGTTTGCTTCATGTTTCATGCAATCGGCTACCTGGACAAAAAAGAATGTTATGGATTGCAGGGTACCTGATGGTTTCCTAAGTAGTGAAAGAGCACTACAATTGGGAAATTGATTAGAAGTGCACATCTATTACTAAATAAAGGGATAAACCAATGCATTATATCATATTACATCACTTAACAGAGTTTGAACTAAAAGATAAGTTTGGCTAAGGATCAAGTGTAGGAAACAAAAGTGGCATTTAGATTCAGGGCTAGGAAGAAAATTCTGGTAGTCAGGATGGTCAAACTGGGGTCATGGAGGAATTTAGGAGACTTTAGTTTCTTTTAATTCCCTGTTAATAATCAGTTGCAGTCTTTCTGAGGGGCTTTTGAAATAAAAATAAAAACATGTCCTCTCAACTTTTCTTTGGTTTCTCTTGGTCCAGCTATATGCAGGTATCCTCTGGGCATGTCAGGAGGCCACATTCCTGATGAGGACATCACAGCTTCCAGTCAGTGGTCAGAGTCCACCGCTGCCAAATATGGAAGGTGAGGATGGCTGTATCGAGAAGATTGAATTCTGGGTAGTTCAATTTTCCTGGACACACAATCCTGACTCAAACAGCTGGGGAAGATTGGTGATGCTGGGGAGAGGCGGGGAGAATAGAAGAAAGGCACCAAGTGGGTGTGTCCTACTCTGCATGTTTTTAAGGACAGAATTCAGGTCTTGGCTAATGTGCTGGTCTGGCGACCTCATTCCAACCACAGAGGCTCCAGAGCCACACCACATACAGTGGATGGGTTGATTGACATGTGTTCAGTTTGCTTATCTGGCCTTCTCACTGAGAGCTGCTGCAGGAGAGAGGCCAAAGTAGCAGATGTGGGAAAATGCAGATTATATAGGACATTGAGAGTGAAGAGGCATCCTTCTCAGATCGTGTCTCTGAAATACCAATTACTTGATAAACAATCAAGGACTTAATCAGACTTTGTTGCCTCCAACAAGTCCTTTTCTGCTATCAAGGAAATCCCACACAGAAGGGCCATCTTCATTCATAAACAGGGTGTGGTAGGTTTCTTCTGGCAAAGTTTTAGGAGTCTTATAAATCAACAAACTCCCAAATCAAAAAGTTCTCTGTGGGTCAGGACCTACTTCTCCTCTTGGAATCTAATTCTTGGGGGTAAGGTATTGATTTTTATTAAAATGGAATTGCCCAAAAGGAAAGGTAAACCTTCCCCCATAATATTTATCTTGGTGGGTGAAAGATGAGAGTTAGTGAGGTTAGAGGGGACAAAAATTGAGCGGGTAACATCTGCGAGAAAAGGGAGCATTCCAGGAAAGAGAGAAAATGGTAAAAGGTTCCCAGTGTAAACTTTATACTGATTTCACAATTTTGCTTAGTGGTAACTCAGCCTGGAGATAATAAAATGAAACCAGATCATTTACAATTCCCTTAACATGCTCTTATTCCTCACCCTCGCTGTGGATTTCCATGGTTTTTGCTGGGTGGCCATGCCCATCCTGCTGGTTAAAATTCCACTGCACTGCATAGCCCACACTGGAGATTTTACTGTTCCTCCCTCTCCACTCCCATAATTTGATATCCAAGCCAGGAGTGGCTAATTTTATTAGGCTGAGTCTAAAAAAAAAAAATAGGAGAAGGGGATGGTGAAATGATTCCATAGGGTAACGGGATAGAAATTGTTTCATTTTCCTTGGATCTTCTAAATTGAGAGGGAATGTGAAGGTTACTCTGAAGGCCTTAAACTCCCTGATGGTGACTCTCCTGGGTTCCATGATGCTTCAAAGAAAGAATACTGAGCCTAAATAAGAATGGTTGGGGGCAATCAGACTGGTGGGAAGAACCCAGATGTGAGTCTGGAGTGGAATTCCAGGCTGCTCTCTCCCCTAGGGACAGGAAAGCTGTTTTTTTTTTKTGTGTGTGTGAATTGGTAAACAACTTGGTTTCATCGTTGCTCTCTCTTTCCCCAACTCTTACCTTCCAAGGCTGGACTCAGAAGAAGGAGATGGAGCCTGGTGCCCTGAGATTCCAGTGGAACCTGATGACCTGAAGGAATTTCTGCAGATTGACTTGCACACCCTACACTTTATCACTCTTGTGGGGACCCAGGGGCGCCATGCAGGGGGTCATGGCATTGAGTTTGCACCCATGTACAAGATCAATTATAGTCGGGATGGCACTCGCTGGATTTCTTGGCGGAACCGGCATGGGAAACAGGTAGGAAGAAGAGATGTCCACACCCTGGTGTGTCTGCAGACAATATTTTGATTTAGGTGAGAAGGAGAACAGCACAGATTATCTGTGCAGATATGTGTGCCTACAGACCTGGCATGACCTATTTAATGGGACCTAGGGAGAAGGAGGTTTCACAGGGAGGGTCATCAAGCCTGTTGAGAAAGCTGAATCAATATATTCTGTTCTTTGAATTAAGTRACAGCTTCCATATAAAATGGGTGATAGGGTTGAAGAAAAGTGAACATGATTTTATACCATCTCTTCACTTTTTCTCTTCTCTCTCTTCAGGTGCTAGATGGAAATAGTAACCCGTATGACATTTTCCTAAAGGACTTGGAGCCACCCATTGTAGCTAGATTTGTTCGCTTCATTCCAGTCACTGACCACTCCATGAATGTTTGCATGAGGGTGGAACTTTATGGCTGTGTCTGGCTAGGTAGGTCTCTAGCACAGGGATTTTATAGACTTTAAGCAAAACCCCACTCCCTGGGAAATAAAGTCAACCAAATCAGAAAGGGATCGGACTAGTTACTGCCAGAAGAATGTGATATCCTCTTGATTAGAGAAAGATGCATTGTTCATCCACCCATGGCTTGGTGCACCACACCTGAAATAACATATTCAAAGTTACTTTGCTGACTATCACCAAGGAATGCTTTTCAGTAGTGCTCCCTGTTTACCCAAATAGAGCCTGATGGGACACATTGCACAGAACTGCACCCTTGAAACTCATGTCGCTCCCTGAGGTAGTTGGTCTGAGGAGTAAGCACATCTTCCCAAAGACACTGACAACTCTGTTTCTTTGGCAGATGGCTTGGTGTCTTACAATGCTCCAGCTGGGCAGCAGTTTGTACTCCCTGGAGGCTCTATCATTTATCTGAATGATTCTGTCTATGATGGAGCCGTTGGGTACAGGTAAATTTTGGGAAGCTGGATCATCAGAATGGGAAAGTGACCACCAGGAGTTAAGAATAACGTTTTATCATGACTTTACATCAGTAACCAATCAAACCAACCRAGTATTTATTTAGTCCCTAGACTATACATGGTAAGGTAATTTAGATGAAGCCAACTGTGTGGTTTTTATTTCCAATGAACTTAAAGTCTACCTTGGGAAGACAAAGTCACAACACAGAAAGCAACAATAAATTACACAAATCAAGGCTAAACTTTTTGGTATGATCTTAAAGTGCGGTAGCCATATTTTTGACCCAGAGAACAGGGCATCTGTCCTGACACAAATATTGGCCTCSCCGTGAAGATGAAGGGCCAGAAGAATTGAAATAATAAGCATCATAAATTGGGGGCAGTCAAGAAGTTCACAAAGAATGGACTTCATAAATATAAATCTTTTAGAAATTGTGGAAATTAATAAGACAATAGGCAAGGAAAATTTCTAGGATGAGATGAGAATTGAAGCAGGGTAAGGTAGAGTGAAGGAGAGCAGAGGAAACACGGCTGAGAACAAGAATGGTCGGCTGAGAACAAGAATGGTCTGATTATGGCAGAAGTTGGATGCTGCAAAATACCAAGAGAGCCCCCTGAAGTGGATTAACAGAGAGCCATAGCAGAGAAATATCATTAAATAAGTAAGAATTTAGAAGTAGATAAGAGATGTATCCCATTCCAGTCTGAGCTTTACCATTCTTCTAGCCTATCCCAATACTCTTCTCTCTTATCTTTGTCTTTATCTGCAAAGATTGAGCCTGGGAGAGATCATGGGGATATACAGGGRTTGAGAGAGGGAAATATTAGTGAGTCTCAGGAAAGGGGATGTGGAATTACAGGACTGCCATTAGCTTAGGTGTAGAGAATAAATGATTGCCCCCAGCTGTCATCCTCTGGGTGAAATCCTGATTCATCCAGTCTTCTATTCTTAGTCACTTCCTTTTCACCTTCTTAGTCACTGGTCTTTCCAATTTGCTTAAACTGTCTTAGCATCATTTTACTCAGCACAACCCAGACAGCAAATACTCATGTCATAAAGGAAACYAGAGATCAATTGAACTCAGTTTAGTTTAATCAACCTTTGCTAATTCACTGTTACTCTATGTAAGGAATTTGGTTAGGCATTATAAAATAAATAAGTCGTTGATTGATCTTACCTTTAAGGTACTCACAGTTTGGAATGGAGGCTACATGAAGATATAAACTACTATGGTGCAAGAATATGAATAAGAGATTATTTTATTAACACTTTGAGGTTCTAAGGAAAGAGTAAGCCATACAGTATTGGGAGTGAAAAATGGCTGGATTCCCCATGTTCTGAATTATTATTTTTTTTTAGGGTTAAGTAAATTAAAATACTTAAGAAAAGCATTTTGTAAAAGTACAGTACTATACATGTGTAAGTTATTATCTTATTGGAGGACGAATAAAGATAAATGGAATTGATAAAATCTGAAATGCATTCCRAAGGATAGATAGAACTTCTATAGGTAGAGAATCTTGAAATGGCATTTAGATTGAGAGAATAACATGGGGGAAAAAAGAACATTGGTTGTAAATTTCAGAAGAATATTTGTTAAAAAAATTGAACAGTTTAGTTAACCATCAACCATATTTACATAGCAAAGTAGTAGATGAGAAGTAGAACAAGGATTATGCCATATTTGGAGGAATCTGAATGTCAGGGCCAGGAGGAACAAGAAAAGGAGAAGAAAGAAGAAAGGAAGGAACAGGATGATGAGGAAGAGTTGTTCTGCTTATTATTAACATCATTATCAATATGATGAGCAACTAAACATTTTTAAAGCTGGGGAACATGATCACTGTGCTTTAGAGAGATTAATCAAAGATTAGATTTGAATAGAATAAAAAATTAGGGATATTCCTAAATTCCGGTTTTGTCAGATAAAATAATTAATGAACAAGGCCAGAATCATGACCTTGGGAATGGGACTGAGGGTCAGATATTCTTTTACAGGACATCAGCAACCTGATTGGATGTAAGCGATAAGATAGTATGGTGAAATAAAGAGATGAAGTATGACAGTCTAAGTGACTGAAACAATGGAGCTGACATTATTTGCCCAGCAAATACATTTTCAGGGTGTAATATGGATGCACTCTCGGTGCCTGTGAAAGAGAAGTATAGCTGGCAGAAATGGAAAACCTGGATGAAATATTTAGTTTAATAGGAGATAAAGATAGATTTCGTTTGGATATRAGTCAAAGGGATATTCAAAACATTCAAATGGAGAAATAAGAAAGTTAGTTGAAAATATAGCTATAGACCCCAAAGGAAAGATCAGATAATTATAGAAATGTAAACACTAATAACTGAGATAATCACATTTCTGATTGAGATGTGGCTGAGGAGATCCAAGGTACTTAGATAAGGGTCTCAGGAAAAAGAGTTGTTATGGATAAAAGACAGACAATTATAAAACATTTGTTGAAAGATTTATAGACAATCCAGGGGCATTTTTGAACTTCATCATTCTGTTAATGTTTCATTTGCTAATGAGCTGAACTGTTGGATAAAATAACTTTATATTTTTAATTCTGAATCTGCCATCATAATTATTTTAGAATTATGGGGTTCAATTCATTTTTTGACAAACTCCATTTGACCCTGTCCATCTAATCCTACATTGTCTCTGGTTACCATATTTTGTCTCATATATATTTGTCCAGATACAGTTGTAGTAGATATTAAAAATGATGTCTTTACCTAGATTGATGGAGAGCATGACCTGCCTACCACTATGCAGCCCACTTTAATACAGGAGCAGTATGAACTCCTCTCCACAAATGTGTGTGTGTGTGTCCTGTGTGTGTGTGTAATTTTTAAAAAATGTTTCTTTAGTCTTGTTTGTGTTATACCAAATTGAATGGATTACTTTTTGGAAAGTTTTTATAGTACTAATCTTCTAAATTTAAGGACTATGTTAAAAGAAAAAACTACACACAATTTGATGGAGAATAAAATCAAATGGTCATGAAACAGTGATAACTGTGGACAATTGGCTGAGATCATTTTAAAATAATTGTGTAATTCAGTTAGTGATTGGAACTGACTTAAAGACAGATATTATATCTAATACGAAATCATAATAATTTTTAATTTTTAAAAAGTTATAAAATAACTTTTAATTTAAAATAAATATGAGTAATATATGCTCATTGTAGTAAATTTTAATACAATATAAAGTTAACTTGGAAAGTTTTTTCTGTATTCTCCACTTAACTTTTATTTTGAAGAAACTGAATAATCATTCCTCTTAATTTGTGTTGCTTCTCTTAAAACTTTCATGAGATTTATTTTTCTGGGGACAATGGGAACTACATTTATCACAAGTAAACTTATGTTCTCCTAGCCTTCTGATCTGTAGAGAGAAGAAGATGGCAAAACCTTGGAAGGGAGATCCAGGTCACTGTGGATAAGGCCAGTCAAATTTTATAATTTGCCAAACATTTTTATTGAATAAATATAGTTTAAAGTGTATATAYAAAGCTGGCACAATCCATCTTAATCTTTTTTTTTTCTTACAAATTTTACATTCTACTGGTTCTGGCTAGAAACTTTAGAGGTCACATCCAATAATGCTTGAGAATGACTATTGCAGTCTCTTCTTTTAAGAAACTCCTGACATATCTCTCAGAGCTTGAGGAAAGACACATTTCACATGATGAGTTCCTGCTCTTTCCCACCATAAAAGGAAGGAAGAAGGCCTTTTTATGTCCTACATATAGTCAAATTATGTAAACATACTTATGTCCCATACAGCAGTCAGACAAACTCAGCTATTCAAAACAGAACCTCCTACTCAAAAGTAGAAAAGGCTATTAAGCTCAGAAACAAAATTACCTGAGACTCTCATGAAATCCATGTGTTTTGCTCCATGGGTCTAGTATTCTACATATTTACATAAAATTAAATAAAAATTAATATTTAAATTTTGTAAGGTTAATTTTTTTCCCCTAGTTAAATTAGGTTGTTGGAGATGTGAGGTATGCGAGGACATGATTGGCTTCTCTGAAATTGATTCACTGAATAATGACAACACACAGTTAAAGAAGAGTCAGAAAAATTTCTAACAAGCTCTGGATATATTTATTTAGTGATGAGACAAGTGCTACTATGTATGACATTCATTCATTCATTCACTTATTAATGAATTAATTCTTCAAGTGCATTTGATAATACTGAGTCACTACATATTAAGACATGATATTCAATATATAAGAAGAGATTATAGAAAAATTTTCATATAAATTATTATTTAAAACTTTTGCTACTAAAATGGTAAGCATTGAATTTTGTAAAATTCATTTATATAAACTCTTATTTTTCCATTGATGCTGAGATAAATGAATCACTACCATAAATAAAACTGAGTTTTTATAATCCTTCAATGAACATCTAAGATTATCAGCTCTTAAAAAACTCAGAGTGAAGCAGTTGGGTGAATGCTCTTCTATGAATGTGTAATTAACTTCTTTCCTTCACCTATCTTAATCTGAGCAGCATGACTGAAGGACTGGGCCAATTGACAGATGGGGTGTCTGGCCTGGATGATTTCACCCAGACCCATGAATACCACGTGTGGCCGGGCTATGACTACGTGGGCTGGCGGAATGAGAGTGCCACCAATGGCTACATTGAGATCATGTTTGAATTTGACCGCATCAGGAATTTCACTACCATGAAGGTCAGTGGAGTTAGGTATGGTGGAACTTCTTCCAGGAGGGTAAACTCACAGTGTGGAAGAGAAAAGGTATGCCAGGAAGAACCCTTAACAGTTGCCAGCAGAACTGGATTCAAATACATATTCCATTAGTAACTAGTTATATTCATTTCAAAGTTAGTTTATCTCTAAGGCCTATTTATTAATTTGTAAATATTATAAGGATTGGGCTAGGACAATAGTTCTCAATGCCTTCCTATCTCTTTCCTTCTTTCCTTCCTTCCTTCCTTCCTTCCTTCCTTCCTTCCTTCCTTCCTTCCTTCATTCCTTCCTTCTAGCAACATTGGAGCCAATGTGTACATTTCACTAGGCACAGCAGCTATTTTGTCATCCTATTACTGTTGTTGACATTTACTACTGCAGTTGAGAGAGCAGTTAAGAGAGAATAGGTCTCATCATAATGTACATCCACAAGACTGGGGTCCTAATTAGAATAAGATATATTCAGTGCTTGTATGATTTTATCAAAATGGGCTTTTATTGTCATGTATAACTGAAAATAACCAATAAAAAATAAAAATTAAAAGCTTATAAAAAAAGAGAGAATAGGTGAATTTTATTATGTAATTGGATAGAGGATAAAGGCTTGGAAAAGATCTAAAGACTGGGCATGTGAATTCAGACACTTGAGAAGAGCTGGGGGAGAAGACCCAAGTTCCATTCTCTGAAGCAGGACCTCACCAGAGAGCCCAACCTTGGTGTTAGAGTTGAGGAGATTTCTGTTAATAAAATTATGTGTTTCCTGGTGCTTGGCTCAAATAATTATTTTCCTTTTCTCTTACTCAATCACAAGTCTGTTTCAGAAAGAAAGGAATGGAAGGCAAGAACAAATATATAAAACTGTGTGGGAGTGAAATCCTATGTTATTTACTTGCATTCCAGGAGAATTTCCAAGATATCTGTAGAAGAGATTATCACTTTCTCCACAGGACACTTGTCCAACACTTCGAATATTTCAAAACATGAAAAATCTGTTGAAGCTATGGATGCTATTTCTTTGATTTTTTTTTCTTAGCCTTATTCCATTCACCTATGTTCAAAAACTAGAATGGTTAACTCACCCCAAGGAAGGTATTAACATGTTTTCATGCRAAAAAGTGACCAGATTCGTTGTTAAACCTGAATTCTCAGCTTGAGGTAAATTAGGACTCAGGAGTGTGAAGGAAAGCTGTCTTGATGGATTAATAAAAAAGTTGCAGGATGTCATGCAGTGTTACTGATTTATGAAGGAGTATGACGGGGTYCTCAAAATAAGCCTTGAGGGAAAAAAGTGGGAAAATCACACATAGATTCTTCTTATCTATTTTTTATCCCCATTAATAGTTCGGTGCAGGGCTGGGGATGTGGCTCAAGCAGTAGCACGCTCACCTGGCATTCGTGTGGTCCAGGTTCGATCCTCAGCACCGCATACCAGCAAAGATGTTGTGTCCGCCGAAAACTAAAAAATCAATATTAAAAAATTCTCTCTCTCTCTCTCTCTCTCACTCACTCTCTCTTAAAAAAATAGTTCAGTGCAGGTTATTAGTAAACAAAAATTAATGCAGGTCTATTATTGCCTCTATTTGTACTTAGTCTTCAGCTTTAATATTTATTTCCTAAATTCATCCATTCTTCTGTCTGTTATTATCATCTATGTTTGAAGCATATATGGTACCACTCAGCTCTGAATGTACACAGTTGAATAATAAATAATCTGTATTTTGGAACACAATGCAGTTCAGTTGAAGAGGCAATGTTTATTTGCAGAAGCAGATATATGGGCTGACATAAGACTCAGAAGAAGGAAATGTGTGTTGTCATTGAGGGTTTCTAGTAATGCAAAACTTGCGATTCCTTGAACAAACTAGGTTTCCAAAAGAAAAATGCATGTCTTTTACATTTCACCCAGATGTTAGTATGATGATATCTCCCAATTAGATGAACAGATATTCGTTAAATTAACAAACATTAAAGATGATAACAGAAGAATCAACATATGCCCAATCTGCTAGTTTATTATTCAAGGATAGCTCTTGGCAGTTGTACAACATAAGTGTGTGTGACTGTGTGTAACACATTATTCTTCACAGCTTTTTTTTTTTTTTTTGAAGGGGGAAAAGAAAGGAAGAAGTAAATACACATAGCAACAAAAATGCTTTAAAAGAAAACTTACTTTTAGTCCTAAATAATGTCTATATCCATATGTACCTATGGGCATGTAGGTAAATTCACACATAGATAACAATTGAGAGATTACCTAGTATAATAAATGATGAAATTATTTTTACACTCCCTATAAAGATATATTGTTTAGTCAATAGACACTGATCTTCTAGAATCCCCAGGATTCTGTTCAATAATTTATCACAGGTTAAAAATACCCAAGAGCTTAGACAGCAAAAAGAAAGTGTCAAAAGTATCTATGGAGCTGATTCAGGGAAGTCTCCTGAAAACCAAACAGATCTCTGGCATATTTTGACTTTTCTGAGAGAAATAAAAAGTAAAATATGACTTTCAAGGAGTTTCTAGAGACTAGTTTTTGCTTCCTGGACAAATTACTACACATTTCTCACTTTGAAGTATGATTAAACTATACCATTAAGATATATTAATGCATTTTAAGTGTATTGTTTATTAAACAAATATGTAAAACTATATGGGAATGAAATCCTATGCTATTTACTTGCATTCTAGGAGAATTCCCAAAATATCTGTGGAAGAGATTATCACCTTTCCCACAGGACACTTGTCCAACACTTTGCAGGTTTAAAAACATGAAAAATCTGTTGAAGATAATGGATGCTGTTTTTAAAATTTTTTTTATTATTCCATTGACCTATGTTCAAAAAACTAGAATGGTTAACTCACCCCAAGGAAGGTATTAACACATTTTCATCAGTAAAACATTTGAAATGAGAAAAACCCAAAGGGAAAAGTCCAGAAGATTTGCCACATTTCTGTGTGGCATAATAAGTGGAAAGAGCACTATCTCATAGGCTCTGATACCAGTGTGTCATTGGTAAGTAAAGAGTTAGACTAGATGATTTTTACAATCTCTAGTAGTTCTAACATTCTGTTCTTAGAGAACTCTGGTGTGGTCTTCAGTTATTGAATTTCTATCATTGCTGATCTTTCAACTAAAAATAAATTTTATAGTATAGTCCTATATTGATTGTTTAGAAACCCCAGGAGGGTATTAAGGACAATTAAAGGGTTATAACTCAGGGCCTATGCAACATATTAAAACAGAAACAGAAAGCATATTTTGTGAATGACGATTATATCTTTTCAACCCAAGAAATCCTTAAATTCAATGGATAGTAGCCAGCAAAGATCTATTTCCACATAAGACTGAGTCAGAGGATATGTTACTGAACTACCACAGGGGCTTGAGTCAGTTACAAATATATACGCTTTATTTTTGCGGGTTATTAAATACAGCAATGTGCTACAGAGGGACTGTTGTGGAATTTCTGCTCCTGATGGCCTTAAACAACCATATAAATAACTGGTGCAATCATGACATCGGGCAAAAACATGCCAATTAATTTCCCATGGACCTTTTTTTTTTCATCTCAACAGTTACTTATGAGAAATATTTGATGACTGCATYAGAATAACTTAAACTGAATTTAATTAAAAGAGATGATTAAGTCTGTGTCTCTGGCTGAAAARTTCTGATACTTGAAATAAGATATCCAAAAGTATGAAATTGTGTTGGTTTATATATTCTCATCTTTCAAATTTCTTACCTTTCCTTGTTGAAAAGGAGTAGTCTGGCTTTGGAAGGAAGTAGGATGGCAATTTATCTCATGCCTAGTTCAGAATAGCTCAAATAGGGGTAGGTAGCAACTGTGGTTGAGAGGATCTTAGATTTAATAGAGTTCAGAGCCTGAGAGGATGGTGGTTCATCTCTCATTTAACAAATGAGGATATTGGAGCCCAGCAACATGAATTGAGGAGGCATGCAGCTGCATCAAGGTAACTGGGGTTGCAGCCCAGGTTTTATAAGACCTGATCATTGTATCCTTGTCACTATGAAGTCCCTAGAGAGAAAAATGCAGAAGTCTGCGGATCATCAGCTATTCACCAAGGGTGGTGCTCAAAGAAACAGGCAGGTCTAGGATTTTTCTGGGTTTGCTTGCACCATGTTCCTATGTGACTTAGCTGGCCCAACCTGTCACTCACGTGCTTTTTTTTTTCTCTGCCAGGTCCACTGCAATAACATGTTTGCTAAAGGTGTGAAGATCTTTAAGGAGGTACAGTGCTACTTCCGTTCTGAAGCCAATGAGTGGGAACCTAATGCTGTTTCCTTCCCTCTTGTCCTGGATGATGTCAACCCCAGTGCTCGCTTTGTCACAGTGCCTCTCCACCACCGAATGGCCAGTGCCATCAAATGCCAATACCATTTTGCTGACACCTGGATGATGTTCAGTGAGATCACTTTCCAATCAGGTAAGAAGCTTGAGGCCCATAGGGAAGTCAGAGCAGGGTGATGAAGGATGAAGGCATACATCTAGGCTTCCACTGGCACATCTCTGAGAATATCAGGGTTGTATAGGTGGTTTCTCACTGATGGACAGGGGGAATGCTTTGTGTGACTAGGTTTAATGATGGAGGGGTAGGGGTGAAAATGGAAGTGAACAGAATATTTACTTGACTCTTCTTCCTTACACATTTATCTAGAAAAGATATGTGGTAAAGAACTTAAAAATGATGACACAATTTGCCAAAAATTATACAAACTAAGACTATTAAGGTGAATCACACCTAAGTATTGCCATTCAAATGAAAGTCTCTATTATTCATGAAAGTAAACAGAACAAGGAACCCCATCTATCACTTAACTTTACTAACTGTCACTATTTGCTATTCTTGTTCAGTCTAGTCCTCTTTTTTTCCCCCTGTAGTATTTTAAAACAAATCTGAAACACTATTTGATTTTACTATTAACAATTCTGGAATGAATCTAATAAAATAAATATATCTTCATAGGCATAATATCCTTATAAAAACTCAAACATTTATGAATAAATAAATCCCCCATATCACCTAATATAGTATCCATAAACATTTATTTGTAAATGATTCATTAATATCACCTAATATCCTGTCCATATTCAAGTATCTCTGATTATCTAATAATGTGTTACTATAGTTGTCTTGTTTGATTCAGGATCAAATAAGGTTGTCTTTGTTATATCTTCTAAAAATCTTCTTGAATCTAAAAGAGTACTCCCTTTACCTAAGAAATTCATTTTGGTTTGATTGGTTGCTTTCTGTGGTATTATTTTACAAGAACCTCTAGTCTCTGTCATGTCTATAAATTGGAAGCCTGTACATCTATAGGCTAATTTGATTCAAGTTTGATACTTATTGTGTATTTTGTGTTGAACTTCATCATTGGTATGTAATACTGGATCCCATCACTTTCAGTCATACTAAAAGTGATTTCTGGTCTCAGATCATTTTCTCTTCATGGGAAAGTTCCCTCTGAACCTTTACTTAGGTTTTGACCTCCTGAATCACTGGGATTACAGGTGGGTACCCCTGTACCCACCATCTAATTTAATTTTTAAATTAAGAAAATTCCAAGAATTTGCTTATTAAGATGTACTGATAATGAAATATAGATTATATTTAGAAAAACAAATTTGATACCTAAATGCCTTCTGAGCTAGTGATTTTATTAAGAGTAAACAGACTGATTATGTTATATGAGTATCAGTTGAGAGCAGAAACCAAGATGGTCAAAAACAGTGCCACTTAATACTCTGTTAACTGGGGGACTAACAGATTCCTATCTATCCTTTGGGATACCCTTGGCACAGTAATTGATACACTTACCTGATTTTTGACTAATTGTAGCAATGGACTATGGATTTTGGCTCCTGGGGCCTCTTGATCTTTAAATTCAATGCCATTAGTTTTCACTGGAGACTAAGGACTCAGTTCAGAAAGTACATGTCGATGCTAGACACCTTAATTTCTATAGTAAGGTTAAAAAGAAGAAAAATAAAATTTTTGAAAGGAATGTCTCATATGAGAATATATATTCTAGTTTTTGACCCCCTTGATTAGACAAATCAGAGGGAAAAAATTAGTTGTCAACATCTACCTGACAAATACACTCTGGGGGCCAAGTCTCAGAAGCTGCAGCATCATAGCAAATATCAATATCTCTGATATCAATATTCTCTCTCTAAGGATGGATGAAGTCTTAATTTATAAGATAATGACTTTGGGAAATAAAGCATAGTGGAAAGACTTTTAYGGAAAGAATTTCATTTTCATGAGGGAAATAACTTCTTTGCATTATGTCYGTCCCACGCCCACTTACCCACTGCATTCTCTCTACATTTTGCTAAATTTGTGTCCTGCCTTCTGTGCATATTTTATGATAATGTGTGGTCATAGCTCTCAAAACCTCTTAACTTTTTGTACGTGAACACCTATTATATAATAGTTGAAACTAAAATTTTGCAAAAGAAAGGTCGCCCTTACTGTGGTTACAATTTTACTCAATGTGTTTATGATCTCATTTTATTTTGTTTTTAATTGTCATATAAAAGTTGTACGTATTTATTGGGTACAGTGTGGTGTTTTGATAATGCACTCATTGTGTAATAATCAAATGAAAGTATTTTCACTAAAGTGATTTCACACTGTGCCAGGTCACAACCCTCAGATAAGCCACTACCTATCTTCTCGCCAGCTCTGACTCCCTCTTATTTTGTAACAGATGCGGCCATGTACAACAACTCTGGAGCCCTGCCCACCTCTCCTATGGCACCGACAACCTATGGTATGTGTGATTCCTAATTATAAAAATTAAATTGAAGTCACCTCCTGGAGGATGAAGAAGGGTGGAGATTTGCAAAGGCCTGACTGTCTGTGTGGGAGGCTTGATACCAGGTGGCTTTGGATGAAGAGTAGCCCTGGAAAGGTAGGACAGTCCACCTTCAAAGCTGAGAGTTCAAACTTACTCTCTTCACTGCTCATTCATGTGATTCTTTAGCTTGGGGAGACAGAATTTAGAGTGTTCCAACTGCTCCATGAAAATCTGAGAACCCTGGGGCAGAAATAGAGATTCCTAAGTGAGACCCCATGGTAGGATCTCAATAAATAGGAAGAAGTCTATGAAACCAAATAGTGGTCTCATTGATTGAAGATAAACATACAAAAGTATATTCTTTGCTTCAGGCGGTTATTGACTGTATCTGCCAGCAATCTGGGAAATATGTTTGATTTAATGTTTCCAAAGAGGATTCTCAGCAATCTTTGCCTATTGCAAAGAATAAGGAGAGTGAAACCAGTTCCTCACTTGTATTTCATGGGCTGTGATTAGGTCTATGCCATGATAATATAGGAATAAACTGGGGGAAGAATGGGAAAGCTCTTCATTACCCAGTCGTGAGACATGGGGAAAGGGAGGCTACTATCTCATGAAGGGGTACTGTAAGAGTCAGAAGCAAAGTAACAAAACAGTAGCAAAATCAAGAATAAGTAGAAATGTCAAGGTAGAATCTTTGGAATTATCCTGAAAGAACAGAGTGCACTTCTTTCCCCACCCCCAGTTCAGTCCCTGATGCTTTTATTTGCCCCATAAAATGATTATATTCTTTGCCTTTTCTTCCTGGCTACAGATCCAATGCTTAAAGTTGATGATAGCAACACACGGATCCTGATTGGCTGCTTGGTGGCCATCATCTTCATCCTCCTGGCCATCATTGTCATTATCTTGTGGAGACAGTTCTGGCAGAAAATGCTGGAGAAGGTGAGGAAGTGCATAACAGGCATGGGACAGGAGGTTGTGCCTCTCTTTATTAAGCTGTTATTGACCCAGGAGTAAAAAGGCAGATTACAAGAGTTTACAAATGGCAAAGGAGTCATCAGAGACTGCAAAGAACTATAGAAATTGAGAAGCTAGTTGCTGAAAGGAACCAGAAAAAGAATTAGCTAACTTCATTTCCTCATTTTTAGAATGAAGATTTTGGAACCTCCCTAGAAATCTCAGAAAATGCTTCCTAATACATTAAAATTTTCACTTGGACAATTCTCATGAAAATTCTTATTCATTTGGCTTGGGGTGGAGTACAGGCATCTATGTATCTCTCTATATATCTTATCTACCATCTATCTATTTCTTATTTCTATCTATGTATCTATCATCTATTTCTTATTTTTTTCATTTAAAAAGTAATTTTGATGCATATACAAGATTGAGAATCATTCTTCTAAAGCTTAGCTAAAATTTCTGATAGTACTGTTGAAATTCCATCTCTTCTCTTTTTGTTTGTTTTTGGAGAGAGTGGGAGAGTGAGAGAAAGTGAGTAGAAAAGCATCCAGCCTCGTTAATATACAAATCAAGTTTCTTACAATTCTACCCTTATTTCTTTGTGTATTTAAACATTATGATTATGTGTCTTTTTGCTTCCTCTTTCTATCTAGGTCAAATGATCTAAATAATTTTTCATTACATTTATCTATTATTTTATAGTATATAAGTATAATATTTTATGTATTGTTTTATATGAACCTCTGAGTAATGGTGAGATAGGCATAGTGGTTATATTAAAAAAATTTTTTTATGAGAAAATTGGATGAATTCAAGGTTATGCAGCTAGTATAGTGTCTTTTATGCTCTTTTCAATTGCAAATATTGAAATATGTTGCCATCTTTCTTCCAAAGTTACATTTTATCATAGATGATATTAACTCGATTGACACTGCTTCTAAGTGGCTGATTCTCTTGGGCCTGCTGCCAATGTCCTTAGGCATAAACACCGCCCTTGGGCAATGAGTTTTTAATGGATAGGGACTGACATGGTCATAGAAACTCTGGGCCCTGAGGTTTTGAACTGCCTATCAAAAGAAGGGGGCAGGAAGGAAGGTATTGTCTGATTGATTTCTGTGTTCTGTAGGAGTATATTCTAGAGGAGGATAAGCTCACCATAGAATGGGCTTGAATCTCCAAAACTCTTTGAATGTAGACAGAAGAAAAGAAGAAGAGCAACCCAGATGGGTGACCTGCAAATCATTCTGACCTGTTTTACATTCGGATTCTTGAGATGGTTGAGGTTTAATTTAAGATTTTGGCAAGAATATTCATGGAATTGAAGTCTCTTTGCTTCCAACAAGGATCTCTACCATTAATCTGAAAACACTTTACCTAAATAAACACTTTAGCTAAATTAAAGCCTGATATAAAGAAGATTTGAACACTGAAAGAAAGAATCCACAGAGAGCTCACCAATTTGTGTGACTATGTTTTAAGGCATCTATGAGATGATATCAAGATCTTTGCTCTGGGTTGGGCTTGGGGTTTAGTGGCAGGGCGCTTGCCTAGCATGTGTGAGGCACTGGGTTCAATCCCCAGCACCATGTTAAAAAAAAAAAMMAAAMCMAAAAAMYWAAWWAAMMAAAWTKGRAAAAAAAAAACTTTGATCCTTTAGAATGCTGGAATATATGAGGTGTCTAAATAAGGAATTCTAGCATGAAGGGTAGCAAAGGGTGGTAGTGATAAAAGATGAGAGACTAAAGGCTCATTAGGCAACTTAGATTCCTTACTGAATGGTCTGTTAACACTGCATTTTATTCTCTATTCTGTAATATCTTTTTTTTTCTCTTTATTTAAGCCAGAATATACTACCCTTCTCTAGGCCTTTCTTCTGAGGCCTATTGGAATGTCTTCATGAGCTGAGAAAGGAATGTTGGATTAAAGACTCTCCAGATAAAAGGGAGAGCAAATATTTTGTCCTTGAATATTTAAGTTGGTCCTTCAAGAAATTCTTTCTATCCTAATGCACTCAGTGTAAGATAATTCAAGGTGCTCTAGAATGACACCTTGATTTAAGTTTCTCCATTGAGCACCCAAGTGCTCAATGTTGTTGGAGTGGTACATTTTACACATTTAAATCTAAATAGTTATATCAATTCAGATGCATTTTCCTTTTGATGGAATGGGAAGATTACCTTAAATGATATGCCACAACACTTAGTTATTTGGCTCTTTTTCTTTCTGTATTATATATAATTAGTCTTGGTATCCTCAGACACCTAGGACTTTCCTATCCCATTTTGTAGCCATTTTAATTTTTGTTAGTAAATATAAGGGGATGGGGAGTGTTATCTTAACCCACACTGCTAGGTGATGAGGTGAACTATTAACATCATGTTACAGCTCTTCTAATGAGTTAATGAACATTTTAACTTATGTTTACCCAGAATCAAAGTAGTATAAGGTAATCCAGGAAAACTCATTATTTAAAAGAACCTAAAAATCTCTTTAAACATGAGTAATATTCCATTGTGTATATATGCCACATTTTTTTAATCCATTCATCTACTGAAGGGCATTTAGGTTGTTTCCACACTTCAGCTACTGTGAATTTTGCTGCTGCTAAGTGAAGTTAGCCAATCGCAAGAAAACAAATGATGAATGTTTTCTCTGATACAAGGGGACTGATTTATAGTGGGATAGGGAGGGGGAGCATGGGAGGAAAAGATGAACTCTAGAAAAGGAAGAGGAGTGAGAGGGGAAGGAAGGGGGCATGGGGTTAGCAATGATGGTGGAATGTGATGGACATCATTATCCAAAGTACATGTATGAAGACATGAATTGGTGTGAATATACTTTATATACAACTGGAGATATGAAAAATTGTGCTGTATATGTGTAATATGAATTGCAATGCATTCTGCTGTCATTTATTTAAAAATCAATAAAAAAATAAAAGTTAGAAGATCTTTGGTTACTTATAGGTTCTTATTTCATTGTGTAAATAATGCTTAGAAGTGCTTCAGTGAAAGTGAATGAATGTTAACAGGACAGGAGATCTAGCTTGAAGAAATGAAGGATTTTTCAAAGTTTCTTTGACACAGAAATTTGTGGAACTAGACTGCATCCCTGTCACTTACAGTGTTTCTAGGTTTAGCAGGAATAAACTGAATGGAAGAGCTAGGTTTTAAAAGTAAAGGAAGTGATAATACCCTTATGCCAGATGATCTTCTCTGCTCTTTTCCTTCAGGCTTCCCGGAGGATGCTGGATGATGAAATGACTGTCAGTCTCTCCCTACCAAGCGAGTCCAGTATGTTCAACAATAACCGCTCCTCATCACCAAGTGAACAGGAGTCCAACTCGACTTATGATCGCATATTTCCTCTTCGCCCTGACTACCAGGAGCCATCCAGACTGATACGAAAGCTCCCAGAATTTGCTCCAGGGGAGGAAGAGTCAGGTGAGAATGAAAGAGTGAGCAGGGGATTGAGGAAGAAGTCTCGACACATGTTACATAGGTATAACAGTATTGCTCTTAGATAACTGGATCTATTTTTGGTCTGTGCTAGCTTCCTGAGAAATCCACATTCTCTTTCTAGATTTGATTAAAATAAAAGATGTTACTAAGGTGGTAACACCGAAAGAAACTGATCAGTTTAACTAGTTTAACTTGCTCATTTTATGAAGAATGTGAGAAGGGCCAGATAGGGCGCATTCATGTAACATAAAACTTCATTAAGGATAAATTCAGGGTTGTAATTTCACCTGGAAAAAAATATATATATATTTTTTAAAGTGAAGCTAAAGAAATTCTGAATTTCAGCCTGGTATGATGGCATATACCTGTAATCCCAGTGACACAGGAGGCTGAGACAGAATCACAGGTTCAAAACCAGCCTCATTTAGCAACTTAGCAAGGTCCTAAGCAACTTGGTGAGACCCTGTCTTAAAATAAAATATAAAAGGGTTGGGAATGTGGATCAATGGTTAAGTGCCCCTGGGTTCAATCCCCAGWAMAAAAAAAAAAAAAAAAAAAAAAAAGAAAGAAAAAGAAAAAGAATTCCTGAATTTCCCAGTTTTATAGTTATCTACATAATTAATTATCTTATTTTTCTTGATTTGTCTTTGGTCAACATTTATAAAATAATACAAGATTTTATTATGAGAGTAAATATTTCTTGCTTTTTATCAATAAAAAAACATTGAATAAAGTAACAGTAATGCTAATTGATTAAATTCCCAGTGCCTTTTTTAAAAGTACTGCATAGTGCCTGACTTTACTGGGGATGCTAGGGTCATCTCTGAAACTCAGAGCTGCTTTTCCATAGTTCGTCAACCTAAGAGTGACCCCATTCTGCAGAAGAGGACTTGTGCAGCACTTAGCCTGAGCCAGTTGTGGAAGCTGACAGGACTAAACTGGAGAGCATAGGCATTTGAGGGAACAAACYTTGAAGGGATCTTGTGCAAAGAAGAAAGGAAACCAACACCTATTTTTATCATTTAGTGGATAGAAGACATTGAAAAAGCATATTGAATTTATGGAATTTTGGCAGAGACAGCAAGACCAAGGAATGTAAATGAATTTATTTTCTAGGCTAAGCTGAAGTTATTTACCTATTCTCTCAAGTTTTAAACATTCCCCACCTCATATTTTAGTTTTTTTAAAGACGTTAACATGTATCTTAAACAAGATTTTATGAACTTGATCATATTCTTAATCCCTAAAATAGGCTCTTACACCAATTAAAATGTTTTAAAATTAAGGAAATTTGCTATTAAACCTTCAATCTTTAATACTCCCATCCTGATATAGCAGGAAACTTGTTGTAGCTTTTCTTGGTTACAAGATTGACCCAAGAAATTGTTAATGATCATGTATTATGGGGAGAATGAGAAACAAAATGGTGGCCACCTACATTCTGAAAATCACAAGGAAGAGTCTCTAGAGGAAGCAAAAGTGTTCTCCAAGTAAGAGTGTTATGAAGAAGGTTAGACTGTCATGGAGGCATGTTCTAGATCTCCTCTTGGTTTTTTTTCCTTGAAGAGATCTCCAAAGATGTCTCTTGGAATGAGACTCATTGTCTTTGTCTTTCCAGGCTGCAGTGGCATTGTGAAGCCAGCCCAACACAACGGACCTGAGGGAGTGCCCCACTAYGCAGAGGCTGACATAGTGAACCTCCAGGGAGTGACTGGAGGCAACACYTACTCAGTTCCTGCTGTCACCATGGACCTTCTCTCAGGAAAAGATGTGGCTGTGGAAGAGTTTCCCCGGAAACTCTTAACTTTCAAGGAGAAGCTAGGAGAAGGCCAGTTTGGAGAGGTGAGTTGACCCTTTGTGTGAGGCCTCTAGTCCTTGGTGGTTCAAATGAAGTAAGTGCCTAACAATGGTCAGTAGAACAAAGTGTCCCTTCCAGAAGTGAATGCACAACTGAAAGTTTTCTCTACTTGGCTTTCTTTGAATTGTCCTCTGGATGACTAGTAATTAGGTCAACTTCAACTTAAGTCATATAGCTAAGGAGTTCCTAGAAACTCTGATTCCTATACAAGGGTTTGTAAGGCAAATACGTCGTTAGACTTCAGATATGCTGAAAAACATTTAATGCTTCCAAAAAATGTTTATAATAGGTTACAAAATGTTTATAATAGGGTGGGGCTCATGAGATGTAATCATCTTTTATAAACCATCCAGGAACACCCTGCTGTTGGGTGTTTATTTCACTTTGTGTTTTTCCTTTTAAGATGGGAGTTACATATAAAGTAGTCAAAAACAACCTCGCCCCTGCTGTGGGTCCCAGAATTAGCTACTAGGGAATGACTCACCAACCAAGATAAGGAGGAGTTTTCTTCTCAACTGTCCTCAGATTGATGTGTGTAATACTAAGTATTTCACTCTCGCAGCAGTCACATAAACCTTCTGAGATATAGAAATGTTTAATTTGTAATAGGAACTCTTCAACAACCCCGAATACCTGGTTTTATAGAAATATGTTATTGGTTTTCAGTTTGGGTCAGATGTTTTCCCCTTGATTAGGTCTGGTGTTGGGGGAGGTAGAGGAGCCCATTTTATCTGCTTATGGTGTTTATATGTACTCATTCTGTCTCCTGGGTTGAAAAAYCACACTCATTATAATGTTATTAAAACTCAGGAATAATTTGCAATGCTAAATCCCATACTAAGGTATTATTTTAGAAAATTGATTTATATTTTGTAGGTTCCAGTAACTAAACTTTCTCAAATCCAAGTTCAAGCATTTATATTGAAACATTTTTTTTATTCTTTTTTTTAACTTGTTCTTTTTAGCTATACATGGCAGAAGAATGTATTTTCCATTTTAGAGTGGAGCTATGTTATAATGAAAGTTTATGTTATAGATTCATGTATTCCCTTACTGAATGTATATTTGTTTTAGAAGACAGTAACATATCATATTAGCTGGGTACTTTACCATTRTTTTTACTTTTATCATTTGAATCAAAGATATGTTATATATACCTTCTTATCATTCTTTTGATTACTTTGCCTGAGTGGTAAGAGTTAGTTTATCTCCAGGAAATGCCCAGCAAGAGTACTGAGACATCTTCAGGAGAAATGATGATGCTGAGACTAGATGACTTTTGTCTAGGTTCATCTTTGTGAAGTGGAGGGAATGGAAAAATTCAAAGACAAAGATTTTGCCCTAGATGTCAGTGCCAACCAGCCTGTCCTGGTGGCTGTGAAAATGCTCCGAGCAGATGCCAACAAGAATGCCAGGTCTGTGGTCTGCATTTTGAATTTTCCTTTATTTATTTCATCTTTCAGACCAGGAATATTTCTGGAAACATCAGAGAATCTTTTTTTTTTTTCATTTGAGATGGAAAGTTTGGTAAATACCCTTGTTTCCATTATTATGCTTTATTTTTCTAATACAAAGTCCTCATCTTCTCCATCTTTCTCAAACATAAATGTACATTTCCATTATATTTGTCACATTTACTTCTTAACTCCCTTTGTACAGCACCATACTTCCCAATACACAAAAATCTAGTGGTGTACTTCTTTAGTCATTATACAGACTTCTGAATTCATTACATCCTACCACACTTCACAATCAAACACATCTTTCTTGCTAAGCTTTTTACATTCTCCTCTTTTTACATCTCTGTTTACTTTATCACCCTTTCTTTCTCTTTTATGCTCCTTTTCTTCTATGTCCAGCAACCCCACAAATGAGAAGTTGCCTCTAGTTGGAAAAGTATCCATGGACCTTAAAGCAAAAGGATCCACAATCCTTTAGCAGTTTTTCAAACTGCTAATAATCTCTTGGATCCTTTACTTCATAAATTGCTGTTTCCAGTCATACTCCATTGTCTGAGTAATGGTGAGTTAATCCTCACACAGAGAGGCATGCTGATTGAAAGCTTGTTTGTGTGTTCCAGAAAAATTTGCACATCTGGTTAACATATGCATTTGGGTTGCCTTGATTCTTATCACTGATATTCATAGTGAGGTAAAGTTTGTTATTCCTATTTCATTAAGTCTTGAAATTAACAGGGTGTGGAATCAAAAAGAGAGAAAGGCGAGARATGGAACAGAGTACTTTTAACTGAGAATTTCAGTCTTAAGGATTATTAGTGTGAATGAAAAGTGACGTTCTCTGGTTCCCATGGAGAGATGGAGTATTCTTCATATTAATCTTAGCACATGAGTGGAAAAAATGGCAAGGAGAGAAACCAAAACATTGTTTTATTTGGTGAGGTTTGCCGTGCTGCACTGTGCCCAGCGTACTGACCAGTGATGAATGGTCTAGACTCTGGGCCCTTCTAGGCCATGGATACCTCTGATTTAAGATTAAAGGGAAAAATGAAGAAGGAAGATCTCGAATTAGGACTATATTGTTTCCAAGGGTTAATACTGACATAGTATGGCTTTCAAAAGAGAATTCCTATGCAACCCATAGGAGACTCCAATACTTTTAAGAATGTGGGCCAGTGGCTTCCCCAAAGCAAATGTTGCTACTTTATAACTCAAGAATGACTGTCATTAAGTACTCAGAGAATTATTAGTCTTGACTAGGTGAGTACTTCTTTTGACGTGACCCCACTTTACCACCATAGCCTTTAAAGAACATGCTACCAAATGTGTGTTGTGACTGACTGTGGGAATAGACTGCATTAAGAAAAATCAGTAAGAGAAAATAAAAAAATTATGAGATAAACCAGAAGGTGGTTATCCACTTTATAAAAACTTGCTTGGCTTTATTAATAGTGTGAATCTTTGGCTTTTTGGAAAGGCRAATGATTTCCAGTGAAAAGTTTTATTTTTCAGAGTAGTTTTATGCAGCATATATTTGATTTAGTAAATATTGACCACTTTCTGCATGACAGGCATTTTGTTAAATACTAGGAATGCAATTTATATGTGAATAAATCATAAATCTTATTCTTAAAACCATTATAATTGAATAGTGATGTTCCAGGAGATATGGAGAATGAAACAGTTCATGGTGCCAATTTCTCTGTCCTTTCAAAGATTTCCCAAAGACAAATGAGCCTTGGTGTAATGGATAGAAATAGACTTTGATGTGCATACTTCCCCTCTTCATTCTGATCCCGGCAATCTCTGAGTTTATCTGTGTCTGTATCCTCCAAAGGAATGATTTTCTTAAGGAGATAAAGATCATGTCCCGGCTCAAGGATGCAAACATCATCCGTCTCTTAGCTGTGTGTATCACTGATGACCCTCTTTGCATGATCACGGAATACATGGAGAATGGAGACCTCAATCAGTTTCTATCCCGCCATGAGCCTGCCAATTCTTGCTCCAGCAATGTACCCACTGTCAGGTAAATAAATCAGGTCTTCTATCTCTTCCCTGTGGTCATGAGAGTCACTTGGAGTTTTAAAACAGAGAGCAATGAGCCTTAAAGTTTACCATTTTTCCTGGCATGGTGAGTGACTATTCTGCAGGGAATAAAAAAGCAGCTGACCCTTCGGAAGAAAGCAAAAGGGATTCTTTAAGAATAGTGAAAGAATGTTAAGGTTTAAATGCTTGGTTTGTTGATATCAACTTTAGAATGAGTAACTTCCTGTATCCATACTTTCTCTTCTCTTGTATTTTCCTCAGTTATGTCAACCTGAAGTTTATGGCTACCCAGATTGCCTCTGGCATGAAGTACCTTTCCTCTCTGAATTTTGTCCACCGAGATCTGGCTACTCGAAACTGTTTAGTGGGTAAGAACTACACCATCAAGATAGCTGACTTTGGAATGAGTAGAAACTTATACAGTGGTGACTACTACCGGATCCAGGGTCGAGCAGTGCTCCCTATCCGCTGGATGTCTTGGGAGAGCATCTTGCTGGTGAGTTCCTGGCATTTGTAAGCCCTACCCTAGGTGGGGACAAATCAAAGACAGCAGGAGCCAAGCTCCACAGACCTTCATATTTTCTCTGATTGGAGATGATCTTTCTTGTGTACCAATTATTATTATTATTATTCTTCAATACTTGCCTATTAATTGAAAAAAAAGTAATATACTTTAGGAAAGAATGTTAAACAGTATGATGTGGGATTTAGTATCATATTTTTTCTACCCTTTCCACATCCTCATCGGTCTTAGGGTTTTAAAAATCTTATTATGTAAAGAAATGTTAATCACATAAAGAATTTTTCTTCTATGTTAACTTCATAATCATGTTGTTCATTAGATTTTGCCCTAGATGTCAGTGCCAACAATCCTGTGTAATCACTATATTTTTATGGTCTTTACCATTTACTTTTTAAGTTTATCATTATTTGTTTTCTACCTTTTACTTAATTCCTGGTATTCTCCATCATGAATGAATGACTTTTTCTAATGTCTTTCTTGGAGATGTTATATGACCATGCATACCTAAGAGTTTCCATTGCTGGTTTTATAAACATTTAGCTGATTAAAAGGATTAATAGATTATGTACTTTTACTTCCTACAATACTGTGTACATGTAATTTTGTCTTTTGTAGTACTGCAGAAAAAAGTCACTTTGGTTTTATTTATAGCTAATTTGCTTATTTACAGCTCATCCTTTTACAGGATTCAAAAATTAATTTTGAAATGAGAAAATATATAATTATCTCCTTCCCCTCATCAATTAATACTTTAGTATATTTCCTTTGAGAATTTTTTCATATGCATTAATTTCTTCATGTGTATTTCTGTGCAAAATGTATATTATGTAATTGGAATAATGCCAACTCATACAATTCTATATATTTTTGCTTAGCACATTTTCATTGACATGTCTGAAATCATTACATATTTTTTAAAGCATGGTTTTAGTGACTGCATCATTTCTATTGTAGGGATATGTTCTGTGATTTAATAATATCTTTATAATTGGATGTCTAAGTTCTTTTCAACTTCTTGCTATTAAGAATGATGCTGTAATATATACAACTTTTCAAAAATCTTTATAATTTTTTTCATCTCTATATGTGAATCTTTATATTTTACCTAATTCTAATGTAACTAGCAATTGCTCTATCTATGTTGTTAAAAAATATTTAAGACTGAGATAGAGAGACCCTGGCTCAAATTTCAATTTCTCCAATACTTTATGTTCTTATTAGCCATGGTAATTTGGCAAACCTCTGCTGTCATTTTTATGATCTAAATATATCATCTACTTTGCTGTGTGTTTGTATTTATTGGATAAAAAGGGTCCGAGTATTTATTACATGCTAATTACATCTGAATCTTAGTGCCATCACTAAGATGTCTCTTTTTCAATACTAGGACTATCACTGAAGTGGGAAGAAAGAGTGCTGGATTCACTCAGGGACTTAACTCCAGACACTTCAACCAGATTCCTCTATCTCTAACATAAAAACAGTTGACTTTCCATTCTTACTTTGACTTTTCCAGGGACCTTTTCCCAAGGTACCCTAGAGCCTAAAAGTTGAACCTCTGACATTCAGTTCATGATGAATGCTTTGTGGCTGTGTTCCTTTCAGCTYCTGGTTCTCATCTGTAAGAAAAGCAGAACTAAGTTGAGATCATGAAGATGAGAGAATGGCTTGCCTTTTTGACAACTTCACATTGTTATTTCTAGAACCTCTGTGAGATCTTGGCAGTTTCAGTATTCTTTGCCCTGGGTTGAGGAAAGGAAATTAACTCCAGATTATGAAAATATAACCTGCTCTTGTTTTGCATGGGTTATCCTGATTTTTTCCTTTTTTTGACTTCAATAGGGCAAATTCACTACAGCAAGTGATGTGTGGGCATTTGGGGTGACTCTGTGGGAGACGTTCACCTTTTGCCAAGAGCAGCCCTATTCTCAGCTGTCAGATGAACAGGTTATTGAAAATACTGGAGAGTTCTTCCGAGACCAGGGGAGGCAGGTAAGAGTATTTCAGGATGAACAGATGAAGACTTGGGTGCTTTTTTTTTTTTTTGGTTGATTCAGTTTTTTGATATTCCTATGAGTGGATATTTAAAGCTTGCTAGTAGCTAGATATCCTTTAGATATTTTTTTAGGAGGGGGGGTCTAAATTATCTTGATTATGAGACATTTMTCCTATAGATTTTATTTTATTTATTTTTTATAAATAAAAATATAGTGGACCTTTAAAAAAGTCCACTATTTTTACCTTCATCAGTGCTAGTGGTGCACAAAATATACATTTTTGACTATCAATGCTCATGGACTAAAAGTCCRTATTTGACTAAAGCCAGGCCAAAGCCAAATAGCATCATTACAAGCTGAGTAAACTCATCTACAAACATCCAAATGTAAATTTTTGATGAAAATTTTCTAAACTAATAGATTAAACATAATTTATTTGATTTTTATTTTATTACATTTTACTATTTAATTACTATTGAATTTCTTATTTAAATTTCAGTATTTAAATTTTAAAAGTTTAAAAACATTTTTTTTATTTGACATGACAGGACAGTATATTTTGACATATTATACATACATGGAATATAACTTACATATTATACATACATGGAATATAACTTATTTTAATAAGAATATCATTCTTGTGGTTGTACATGATGTAGAGTTTAAAAGTTTGATAGAGTGTAGGGACACCCATTTCAGTTATCAAGTTCAAGAAAGTGGGCAAGGGGGATGACTAAACTATGATGCAACTAGTCTTCATTTTGTTTCCTGATCTTAATATTTCTTTTTCTCTCTCTTCTTTAAATTTTTTGTTTCCAAAGATTTACCTCCCTCAACCAGCCATTTGCCCTGACTCWGTGTATAAGCTGATGCTCAGCTGTTGGAGAAGAGATACAAAGCACCGTCCATCGTTTCAAGAAATCCACCTTTTGCTCCTTCAACAAGGGGATGAGTGATGCCGTCAATGCGTGACAGCATTCCAATGGCCCAGGTTCTTCCCACAAGACCTACCACTCAACCATACCTAAGCCACTCCATCCGGACATTTTACGGAACTGAGAGACACAGGCCTTTTGCTTTGTTCTCTCTCTCTGTCCCTCACCTACCCCATGCCACTCCTTCACTCCCTACCACTGTCTCATATATACTTTTTTTTTTTTTTACATTAAAGCACTACAAAAGAAAAAAAATCTAGGGCAGATAAAATCTAGTAAAAGAAATCTTGATATACCAAAGGGTTAGATAACAAAAGCTACAAAATTTAGATAATTTATAAAGGTTAAATATGCTTATGTTTATAAATGTGCAGATTCTATAATATTTTTCCATGTCACCTTTTATAAAGTATCTTCAGAAAGAGAAAAAAAATTGAAGAATACTAAGGTCTTGGGAAACATGAGATTAGACTTAGGGGAAGCATGTAGTAGCCATGGAGAATCTGAAGACTTGATATTTAACAACTTACCACAGATGGTTTTCTGATTTGGCTTCTGAACATATACCATTCTCTGATTTCCCTCTCCTATCAAAGTGAATAATGTATTCTGGAAAAGTCCTAGTTTTTTGGAATGGGTATTTTCTTCATTCRTGGGCAGGGGTCATGGTTGAAATGCATTTATAAAGTAACAGGGGATATGGATAGGAAAGAATGTCTGCTGCAAGGCTAAATGTAAGAGAACAGTTATTTTTTTTWAAAAAGTATATCCTGCATGGAAGGATTCTTGAATGGATAACAGATGTAAGAAAGGAGTTCTATGAAGGACAGATAACAAGTATCCTATTCAATATTCACTTGTGAGGGTCCTCTTCTTTGTCTTGTTAAGAAATTTTTATGTGTGTGTTTTAGTGGGCATCTGATTTTTTAATTAGTAAAGGCTGGTGTCTTAATAGCTTGATGATAGACCCTTTGTTTCACCTTGTGCAAGTTTCTATTAATGGTTAACATCGCTGGATGTGTGAACTGGAGACTGAATTTCTCAGGCATAAATACCTAAAGGACATGTATAACAGAGTAGATCTGTTCTGAGTGTCCCCAAAAGGTTGACCCAGAACAATGAGAAGACGTTAAAGGGAAACTGAAATCTATTCTTTTTAGGGAAAATACATCCAGTCAGGACATACAAGAATCAATGGGCTGCCTCCAGAGATGGAGAGTCCTCTGTCTTTTGCAGAGGATCATATATAGGCTAAAGAACTATGCAAGAAGATGAAGGTTTTCAAATAGAGGAAAGATAGCTATATTAGACAATATTTAATGATTTTCTAACCTCAAGAATCATTGATTCCAGAGAGGCCTAGGATGGCCATTCAGTGCTACTGCTTAGTGTTCATCTTCTTGTTAACAAGATAGTATGGTCAGCAGAAAAATATGAGGCTCTAATTCTCAGAATTCATGGAAGTGGATACCTGTTGAGTAGGAATCTCCTTAGAGAAGATTCTGAGCTTTTGACACATGACAAATTTCCAGATTCATTGGGAAAACTAGAAAAGGGGACCCTTAATTCCCATTGAGAAAAAAATAAGAGAAGATTACAAAACTAACTTCCTAAGGTGGCAAGAAATAGTCTTGATCCCCTAGATCTGCTTCTCTTGCTTCCATGGTCTGCCTTTTTATAATCTCTTAGAAWCGTCAATGTTTCTCCATTTAGCTTTCAAAATTGTTCCAGGCCCTGCATGAACATAAATCTAAGTCCCCAACATTCATTTTGCAGGTCATCTTCTGACTATAGCAAATACCTTTTCTCCCTGGTTGTTCTAAGCCTGGACTTCAGTCTCTTCCATGACTAACTTTGGTTTAAGAGTCGGGAGAATGTTTGGCCATCTTTTGCTTTAAGCCAAGTGTGCCATCTTGTTTCTCTGAATTTTGTTTTCTTATCTGTAAAGTGAGTAAATTGAATTAGATGGCATTGAAGTGTTTATTGAATACTGTTTTTCTATAACTGATGTGGATTCAGTAATCCGGTCATCTCTTGTTCTGGAAAATGTGGTTGGTAGAAGGGATCTTGGGAGAAGTTACTGTAATAGTAGTAACAATGGCACCTGCATCTGTATAGTGCCTTAGCATTACCATTTCTATAATATTTATTTCATTTTATATGTACAGGGCCAGACATGTTTTCCTATGAGACATGCCACCCTCTGATCTCAAGGAAAGTGTTAACTTCCTTAGAAATAAAAGGATGTGACATCAGAACCTACAGTCTACTTATCCATATGCCTCTGGTAGGACTACCTCCAGACCATTTCCCCTTCCATAGCCTAACATCCTTCTGCTTAGGACTTTTTAGGATTCTGCCTCAATTCACTGTATTTCATGATCCCATACTTAAAAATATTTAAAATGTTATTAAAGTATATGAATTTTCCTGACCTTGAGTCATGGAAGTAATCTGTTTTAGGTGGCAGCCAAATATGTATTATCATGTACAAGTATCCTTTTCTGGATGAAGAATTCTCCATCTTTTGGCACTGAGAAATTGCACTATAGACATAGGTTTAACTTCTAACCTAACTCGTACCTGTAGAGTTTAGCAGCACAAATCTGAAGTGACCCAACAGAGTAAATGGTAAAGACTTAGTATGTAGACTTAGTATGTTATAGTAAAAAGGTGTTCAAATCTAAATTAGAGGAATGAAGCTAGGAAAAGAAATAGGAAAAATGATAAGAAAGTATAGGACCTTCTTCTCTTTGCTATAAGTTATCCTCTTCATGATGCATGTAAGCTATTTTGTATCAAGGTTGTGTTTTTAGATAGTCAAGATTTTAATTTATACTTGYGCTGGTTAACGTGTTGATAGCTAGGTCAAAATCTTGATGTGCTGTCCAGTCGACACATATATGATTAGTTCACAAAAGTGTTTACTGGAGTGAAAAGAAGTATCCAGGGAGAGTAAGCTGTGGAAAGATCACTTGTAAGTGTTCAAGAATATATAGCAAAGAGGGAGGTATGCAAGTGGGACAAAAAATGAATACATGAATGTGCATATGACTGGTCAGGGAGGCTGAGGAGGGGTTAGGAAAGAGAGTGGCAATAGTAGAGAGGCAATAAAAAGAGGCAATGAGAGTGCATGGGAGCCATGGATAGGGGCTAGTCAAACAAGGTAGAAACAGGGGTAACGGGAGCTGRTGGAATGCGCTCTGAAGCAAGGAAGCAAAGATTTAGAAAGAGACCTGAGAAAGGATAGAAAAAGTGACTTGAAGTAGGATGGTAAAGAGGAAATTCTGGGTGATAGAGATTATAAAATATTTATTAAAAATGAAAAGACAGGTGCAGTAATGGAAACAGGATTGTTGTTTTTATTGTTTAAAGGTATGTAGGGATGTCCTCCATAGATCTAAAAACACATAACTATCAGGGAATGATCCTCTAATTTCAGAGTCAGGGGGTGAGGGAGGCAGTTTAAGCCCCTATGTGTTTTAGACTACTTCAAGGGCTGGTGAGAGGTCAACTCTCTGCCTGAACTGGATTTGACTTTCCAAGGGCTATTTTAGACATGAAAACCTAGATAMGGGGAGCTAATGGTAGTTTCTGAAACTTTGCATTCTCTCCTCTTGCCTTTGTTAATGAAATCCATTTTCAAGGATGTCCATCATTGCTGTGCCCAGAATGGCARCAGACAACTGGAAAAAATAGGCATAAGTTAGGTAAAACTAAATCTCATCTGGTGTCCACACAATGAGTTATGTGCCACRTTAGAAACATGCATGTTTCTAGTTCCATCCAGTCTTCCCACAAGAAAAYCATAATGTGGGGCTAGGCCATGTGTTTTGAGTAAAGTAGAATAGGAGTGTCTAAAGGAGGGAAAAGGAAGATGTTGCAAAGAAATATACTAAAACAACAGCATCTGTTCTCAAAACTAAAAAAAAATGAAAAGGATTACAATGTATAGCCATTATGTCTTTGATCCTAAGTTGAATTCATAAACCYGGATCTTGCCATCTTAGTCTTCTCTTGTCTGTCGTATTTTTGTTCTTTGTTAGTGCATGTGGTAGGTCACTAATATTTCTGGAAGACGCAGATCCTGATCTACTCTGGGAAATACTTCTGAACTGAAATTTCACATTTGTATAGAAACAGATAAATGTCTTCATCTGCTCCAATTAGGTACATTGYGTGGTGGCAGAAGACTAATGAGTAATTGTTTAGTTGCTGTCTCCTTTTTGAAAGACTCTCAAGACGTTTAAAAAAAAAGTGTAGAATGTTCTTACTCTAGATCTAGTTTTCCCCAACTGATAAAATTTTACATAAGCCCATTTTCAACCACAGAAACCATAGTCCATTTTGAACCATTTTCAAAACCAGAAAATTGACATTGGTGTAATACCTCTAACTAAACTACAGATTTTATTTGGACTTCACCATTTTCATACATATATTCCTTTAGGTACTGAATTCTTTTAACCCTTGATAATTAGTAACCTGTCCTTGCTTGGATGTATTAGGCACTATCTGGACACAATTATGCAAAATTCAAGAGAATATAACAAATTAATATGTTCATTTATTGTTAAGCAATATCGTCCCTATTCTGCTTCCAAATTTTACCATTAGTTTTACAATCCAAAGATGACTTAGGATTAGATAATACCAAAGTAAGATCCATCTATAGATTGTTGGATAGAGACTCAGCTGTGGAAGGAAGTGCTAAATGGTTCCTGCAGTTTCTACAGGGGAGTAGGGTTTTTATCAAAGACAAGAAGACATTTTTCAGGTAAATCAGTATTTTGGTCAAGAGTTAATGACACCATGGATAGCTTGTGGAAGGAATACAATATAATAGTGTGGACCTTGAATGTGTAATAAAACACTATTTTTTTTTTGAGTAGCAGAGAAGCTTCATTTGCTTAAATATCTGTTCTTAATGGGAACAACAACCCTAGAGAAGTTGAAGCTCTTTTTGTGGATTACAGCTTTGAGTTTTGTGAGTGCCATTTTTAAGCTGCCCTATTGAAGGGTCACAAGACTATAGCAGTGTGTGTCTTGTAAAACTTCTAGCACATAAGTGAACACTTGATAAATATTTTCCAAATGTTGTTTTTTGAATGAATAAAAGATGGAGACAAAAACCCTGTCATCTAGTATAACTAGGGTGAATTTAGTGAGATTGCTTTGTTGTAACAGAAATTTTATTTTCAAATAAGAGGACATAGTGCTCATACTTGTACCAGGTAAAATACATTCTCCATTTGCATACTTGGTAATAGCAAAATTGATCTATGGAAATGCTTCATTCTTTGAGGTAATTAGACAGCAGTGCAAGGTAGTTCTCAACACTGTACCAGATTAAAAGTAAGGACCAACACTGGCTCCAAACCCAGTTCCTGAAACAAGCTATTTAGTTTCTCCTGTAGACACTTTGTCAACATCTTTACAGGTGAAGGGATCTGCCTCCCAAGCTAGCCTGTACATGTTAAGGAAGAATTTGAAAATAACAACAACGACAAAAACACACCAAAAACTTAAGGCAGAGTATGTTAGGATGAGGTAATTACTTGCACTGTAAAATTGTTTTTTCAAGAAGAGGTTTGGAAGTAACTGAAAGTTGGGAAAATTATTGCACACACACCAAGAATCTGTAAACTAGCCTCACAGTTCTTTACTGTTCATGATATCCTATTTTTTCCCCCTGTTGTCTGGTAACTTTTTTTGGAGGACTGAGTTTCTGCAGCAATGATGAGGAAACATCTGGGCTTTATTCCACAGGCTTTGGAGGATAATGTGTCTCATCAAGGGGTAAACAGCAAATGGATTTAATTTTTGCTTAAAACTATTATAGTCATTCCAAAATAGAATAAGTAAAAATTCTCTGTATTAGAAAAAGAAACATGATACCAATTGTATATTTTCTTTATTTATTCTCTGWCAGATGATAAATTGTAAATAACAATGATTAAAGAGTTGTGATACTAATGAATCCGTATTTCTGTGTAAACATCACCTGAGATTTCTTACATCAGTTTTGGAGAAGTAATGGGACATGGGGACAGAGATAGGGAAGTTATACAGTATGGCTGTCTCTTGCTGAGGTTGTCTGACAGGGTTATTTAGATAGGTTTCTAACACCTTAGTTGAATGTTTATTGGAAGAAAAACATTCTAGTCTCTGACATATCCAAATATACCAGAGTCTGTGATTTTATATCCTCAAATTAATTATCCAGTTCTGAGGAAACCAGTCTAGAGTTTATTGGGGACCTTTCTTGTTATTGTTACAGAGTTATCTGTACAAATCCCTGCTAAATTCAAATATGGTCTGTCTTAGATTGTACACAATGCACAAACCAACAAAATTATACGCAATCAGAATATAGATTCAGTTTTCATGTTAGATATTAGTGTGAAATCAGTCAACATAATACATTATTTTTAGCCTGAAGAATAAAAATAAATTTATATTTTCAATTATCTAAGTAACATGAACACATTTCTTTCAATAGTGGTCATGGTAGATAAGGAGATATATATTCATAGGGCTCATAAAGACACATTCTGATTCTTCAGTGTATCTGGTTTCATTCTCAGACTCGACAATGATTCCCATAGCTGTGCAGTGGGAGTGGGTTGGGGGCAAAGAAGGAAAAGTAAACAAGGGCTTCAGAGATGTACAATTCTATTATCAACACCTATTTCCAAGGTTTAAAAGTAGATATGAGAGATGTGTATTTCTCTCTCCCCCACCCCCATAAACACACACACAATGCATGCACCTGGATATACAAGTTGTTAATGAGGACAAAGATAATGTCTGATAATGTCTGGTCTTCATTTTTTTTTAACTAGCAGCTTGAGGGACTCTATTCAGTTAAGTGTTAAAGACTAGCAAACTGATTCATTACACTTGTAATTTTATATTTATATTCACTTCATATTTGAAAAAGAAATGAACATACTCGTATCTGTAAGTAGTCCTCCATGTAGTTGTTGAGTTCTCCATGAGACAAATTTCTCAAGTGTGGGCAACAGGTAACCTTTTACCATCAATGAACCTGATAAAATTTCACTCCTGAGGTAGTTTTAGGCCAGACTAAATGTGTGATATCAAGGGCAGAGAGGTGAAAGATATGAACAAAAGAAGCTGTGTGTGTGTCCATTGGCAGCTGTTCTTTTGCTCTTGTTTGCAAATTACAAGAAAGTTATTTATAGATAAGTTTGTAAGAATCAAAACCAGCTCTATTATGGAAGCAAAAGATACATTTACTCATCCTTGTCCATTGAAGGACTGCTTCAGTCTCCATAAAAGGGATCAGAGGTCAGTTTCAGGGCTTAGGGAGCAGGTAGATTTATTATAGAAAATAACTAAGCACATTTATTCTTGGGAGAGGGACAAGAAGACTAAGCCAGATAAAGAAAGTTCTTGGTTTGAACAAAAACTAATTATCTTTACAGGTGAGGGATAGTTTTGCAAAAAAAAAAAAAAAAAAAGAAAGAAAGAAAGAAAAGAAAATAGTAAATAGATAGTCAAAGAGCAGTTGCTACATTTACTATTCAAATAATAGGAACCGAGATTTGTCAGTGATAGATGGAATCATTGTGTGCCTGGTTTCCAGGAAAACAGAATGAGCTCTGCACAACACAAACCTATTCATCTTGAGATTATAAAAACATACCTTCCCAAACTCATCTACTTAGTAAAACATATGTTCCAATATTTATTGAGCTGTGTTTTCTGTGTTATAACATTTTTAAAATACAAAATTAAATGACATCTATTAAAAATGATTTTATTCTAGTAGGTTAGCCCATCTTTCAAAGCTCACAGCACACTGAAAAAAGCAGATTATACTWAAAAAAAAGGAAAAAGAGACCAAAGTTACTTCATTCAGTTAAATGGAAGTCATAAGGGATGAGAGCCCGATGCCCTTGCTCTGCAGTCAAATGGCCTTCACATAATTCACACTCCATCCTACACTATCATCGCAAGATTGTGGTGATGCTGAACCTCTGGAGTCTGTACCCTCTACTTTCTGTGTAGAAATTAATTTTCTTTGGGATGGCCACACATCTCTCTTTCCTCTCTTACTCCTTTCACATGTGCCTGCTGAGCTCCAGGACATTTTAAAAGTGTTTGATTTATATTCTCAAGATTGGGGTTAATATCACTCTAATACATTCAGAAAATATTGTTGAACTGTGGTCTCTTCAGAGCAATTGAAAGTGAGATAACAATGAAAGTTGAGTCCCACCTCAGTAATGAAGAATTTTTATCTAGGAATCTAATGTTCAAATAATCAGATTTGCTTTTTAAAATCTAATTTTATTGGCATAAGATAAATGATTACTCTCAGTGGTATTATTAATCAAAACGTCTAGGATCAAAAACCAATACCRATTATCCCAGTTTTTTAGGGATCATAGCTGTTCATAAGTAATTGAAATTTTGAAGGAGGCCATGGAGTGGATTAAAGCATGTTCAGTAGTTTGATGTATGATGATATACAGTTTAATTCAGTTAACAGGGCATGGTAATGGTTCTTCTGTCTACTAGAAATATAGAAACCTAGAGGAAACATTAGAAATTTTTACAGCCGTTTGGTAGAGTACTTTTATATGTGTTGATTCTAATAAAAAAAACTAGGGCTCGTAATTTGTATACATTTTGTTTTTAATTTTTCCAGTAATTTTTTGTTTTTTGTATTTTCCAAAAATACGTATATGGAATGGCTTGGAAACAAAAAACTGCTTCTTGGCCAGAAAGAGTTTGAGAGGCATTGATGTAGATTATAGTATATTTTCAGTACATCATTCTGAGAATGAAGTTCTGAGAATATCTGATTCCATACCACATTCCAATCTTTGAAGATTGGTATTTCATGCATGATTCTACAGAAAATTCTAAATAAAGTCAATGTTCATTTTCCCAAAGAGGATTAAGCTGRATCTATACACTCAAAAAACAGTGGAAAATTTCTCATTTTTCTGATTGTACAGGTTGCAGAATCACATTGGTCATACAGTCACCTATATACATACAGCAATAATAATGTCTATTTTATTCTGCTGCCCTTCCTATCYGGCCTTCTCCTCCCCTCCCATCACTTCTCTCTACCCAATCTAATGTGACACACTTTTTTTTTTTAACTAGTTACAAATTGTAATCACATTATTACTTGCATAAGTTAGGTTGACTTTTTAAATGTGTKAAATGCAAAGAATTCTAAATAATGCAATACTATCCATTTTAATACAATGTTCATTTTACATGAGACAAGTAAGTGATCATTTTAAATTTATTTTGTTAGAAAGTTTCAAGCATTTATCTTTATTTCTTAATTTCCTCACTTTCCCTTTATCCCTTTTATTCTTTTTCTTAATTGTAGTTATATGAGAGATTTTTTTAATAAAATGATAAAATACAAAACATAGAAATATTTCTTCCAAATTTCACAATTCATAAATAAGAAATTCACATATATTCAGATTTTCTATTTTAGGCAATATTTTTCAAAAGTTAATATATGCTTCACATAATTATGTATAATATGCATTATTTTTACTTGATGACATCTTAAACATTGTTGCACATTACTAATAAATGTGATAAACATAAAAAAAAAAAAAAACAGTGGAAAAGCACATAATCCCTGAACCTTAGCTCCTGTATCTATCCCTTTTCTCTAATACAAGCTCTGGTGCAACCATCCTAATGCCATTCTGAGGCTCCAGTACATGGACTCTGTGTGAGCCACGGCAACCCATGCTCTGCTCAAAGAGCACCACCACGCGGAAAAACGCAGCTGGCCCAAGCCTGKAGCAGCGGGGCGGGAGGCACCTGCGCCCCGGAGTAGGCGGGGACTTCCTGGATTGGCTTGACGCTCTGCGTCACGCGGCTCCGCCCCTCGGCCTATCTCACTCCACCCGGCTTAGGCGTTGCGCGCSGACGGCAGACTGCGATTGGCAGGCACGGTGCGGAGTCGATGACGCAAGAGTCCCGATCGGTTCCCCCATTGGTGGGCGTACGCTAGGGTGCAGCCTCTCTGGGGGCGGGGCGGGGGAGGGAGGAGGTTCCAAAGTTAGTATGAATTCGCAGGGGTTCCGAACGCTGAGGTGAGGACCTGCTTTACGGCTCGGCTCTTGAGTGTGCGAAGATGCGAAAGGTGGTTTTGGTCACCGGGGCGAGCAGGTGAGGGCTCTTTGGGGGATTGCAGAGGCTGCGTTCTGGGGTCGGAGGGAGCAGAAGCCGGCGACCTGCCGTTGACAACCCGGGCAGTTGCCTGTCTTTGAATTTGCTCCGTTGGGGACTTGGGCCGAGACCCCGTCCTACTATTCTCTGGTTCCTTCGCCAAGGTATGGGGCATGCTGGCCCCTTGAGGTACTCAGAAACTGGTGCTTTGAATGAAAACATGGCAGTGTAAGGGAGAACTACACCACCAGTAAGTCGTCAGGGTTGCTTGTGATTATCCAGGGAAAGGGAAGATTCCTACGCGGACCCTGCACACGCCTTTGACCCATTCTGAAGTGTACACTGTGAATTCCTGAAGTTTAGTTCGGTGCTGAGCACGTGGCCATGTCTTATGCTCCTAGTTTTAAAATTTCAACTTCCATGAGCATCAGGAGCCCGCGCGCGCGGTGGGGAGCTGGTGTCTTATTTCATTTCACACAGCACTAACACATACTCTGTAATACAGAGTATATGATAGGAACATAGGAAAACATGATTCCTGTTAAGGCATAGTCCGTCCGAGTGCAAAGTAATTAGCTCATAAATATTCTGGGATTGCTCACCTGGACTCTCAGCCTGCTTTATTGACTGACTGTTTTACTTCTCATTTGTACTTTCACGAAGGATGTGTGGAGGATAAAATCAATCAATCCATTTTTCTACCAATTGCTTTTTGGCGTTTTGAGAGATTAAGACAGAAAT